TATATATATATATTTTTTGTGATATTTGTAGTTTATATATATATATATATATATATATATATATATGAATAATGAAGTTTAATATGAAGTTTAATATATTTATATATATAAAATGTTATATATTTATTTATAAAGGCTATATAAAATGTAGCTAATTGCGAAAAAGGTATGCATTATTCCAAAATTGTGAACACTGTAAATGATGTAATCATTCATAATATTTGAATATTCATCAAATCATTAATAATAGATTTGAAATATTCAAATATTGTTGCTGATAAGTTGCTAATTCTGCTAATTGTTTCTGCTGTGAACTAAAAGCAAAATAAACTCTGACTGGTCACTTCTCATGTCAATCAGACCAGCCTTTCCTGTCAGTTGGGCATTTGTTGGCCAGAACAAGCTGCAAACTGAACCAAACTTTGTACCAATGCTGTAATGCTGGATCTGTAAATGTAGCTTACGCTGCAGGAGTCGTCGCCAGTGCAGCCGCGCGTGACTTTCGTCGAGCTCTGGAGCTCACCGGGACACTGACGGGGTAGAACTGCAGGTGTCTGCTGTTCATACGGAGATCTTGGATGCAGCCCTTAAAGAAGCCACCGAAGGCTAGCGATGCACGGCGGTCCGGTAAACCCCCCACATACACCGCATCTCCAGCCTGGACCAGCACACTGCGGATGGGGATGCGGCCTTGGCTCTTAGCAGACATAAACAGGGACAGGGATTCTGGCTCCACAAGCACAGTTATGAGGTGAAAGTGACCATCGCTGACCGTTTCACTTCCTAGCAGGCTTTCAAAGTTGTTGATTTGAACTTTGACCTTTCCATCCTCTAACCAGACACGCAGATACTGACTGGTGGTGTTGGAGAGGACCAGGAGCAAGCCCTGTGAGCGGCGCGTGCGAACGAACATGGACACGGTGTTACTGTCGCCTGGATTGTCTTCTACTGTGAACACAGCGTAGCTCTCCAGATCTTCACTTCCAAACCTGGCAGTCACATACTCTGATAATACAGAAGTGAACAGCAGTGTTAGAGAAAGGTACAATAAAGAATATGCACACGATGTTGGTTTTTTTACCTACAAGATTGTTTCTGCGATTGCTGTAGTGTATATGCGCTCAGTAAGTGATATGCAAAAATGTTTTTTAGTGATTTTTTCTGCTTTTTATTACTTAAATCAACAAAAATGTATATACTACTACAATAAAAACACAATATGCATTCTAAATATTTTGAATATCACGAATAGTATTATCAACAACAAAATGTGTGCCATTATAATGTGACAAAGTCAAATATAACAAAATGGAGTATTTCTAAATATAGAGTTTATCATTATTATTATTAATAGTAGTAGTAGTAGTAGTAGTAGTAGTAGTAATAGCAGTAATAATATCAAACAAAATAGCATTTGTATAATTCATCAAATATGAAAATTCATCACATTTTAAGTTTCAATATTTAAACATATTAAACATATTTAGAAAGTTGAGCAAATTACAAAAAAGAAAGAAAGATATGGTTCACGTCCAGCATTATTATTTCAGAATTGTGAACATTGTAAATAATGCAATCATTCATATAATAATATCAAACAAAACAGAATGTTTCCAAATATAGATACAATTTTAAATATTATTCAAATTATTATTATTATTATTATTATTAATAAAAAAATAAAATAAAATGTAACAAAGTCAAATATAACAAAATTGAATGTTTTACCATCATCATTAATATTTTATGTTATATTACAAATATTTATTATTGTTGTTCTTGATGTAATAACATACAATAACATGTAGTTGTAATAATAATAATTCAATAAATGTGTTGTGTTGTCCACCCATTCCTAACTAAATTTGTTTTGCTCTCTGTCACTGAGCAGATAAATCACTGGTGGTTACTTTCTTGGCAGGATCAAGGATTAAATACACCTGTTAATATCACGTTTCTTTAATCCACAGTTCAGGTGCGGCCGGTTTAACCTTCCCTTTGCAGTCCGTTTGCTTTTGCATGAGAGTATGTCTGAGTGTTTGTGGATGCCTGTTTTCTTTAGCACTCTAATCTCATTCTGTGTCTTGGCACTAAATTTGACCCTCCGATGGGCGCTACATTTAGATTCCCTGCTAAGCAGTTTTATCAATGACGTTGTTGTAGAGATAATGGTGACCAAAGATGAATGTTCATTCTAAATTATTTAAAATTTTATCTTGGTTTAATCAGAAATAGGCTACTTTAAATAGTATATAAAACCATCTGTGAACCTTTAACATCCATGGAATCTTTCTATTGTTCTTTTTAGTGGAAAAGGGGTTCTTTAGATTTTATAAATATTCTACGCACTAAAAAAAAATGGTTAGTTTAAGAACTGTTCACTGAAAGGTTCTTTGGGGAACCAAAAATGGTTCTTCTATGATATCACTGTGAAACCCCTCTTTAGAACATTTTATTTAAAAGGTAGCAGAATTTGTTTGCAGATCACACGTGTTTCGATATTCTAAATCTACTGCAATGACATTTCAGAAATTTTTAAATGTGACTTAAAGGTGGGGTAAGAGATTTTTCAAAAACGCTTTTATTTTGTCGCGCCGCGCCACTCGTGTCCGGTGTAGACACGGTGTAACATTGGTTTTGCTTTGTTTCACAGAACTAATCGTTGCCTGGGTTGCGTACGTATGTGTGGGGCGGAGCTATCAAAATAGGGGCGAGACCCTTTTGGGGTAGGGGCGTGTTTGTTTTGGTGATTTCAAATGTCAACATTGGCTACCAGAAATCGCTTACCCCACCTTTAAATAGATAGTTCACCCAAAAACGGAAAAAAAAATATTATGGAAGTCAATGATGCAACTTACCAACATTCTTTAAAAAAATGTCTTGTGTGTTCAACAGAAGAAAGAAACTCATACAGGTTTGGAACCACTTGAGGGTGAATAAATGATGACAGAATTGTCATTTTTGGGTGAACTATCCCTTTACGTGTTTAAATCAAATTCTGTTCTATGCAAACTAACCCAAGTAGTAAAATGTAACAGCGATCATACCATCTAAACAGTGCTCGCCCTCATAAGGCCGATGGCATTCGCAGCTAAAGCTCCTCCATCCAGTCTTGACACATCTGCCTCTGTTCTGGCATGGGTTTTCCCTGCAGCGGTCCCAGTCACTGCAGCCCTGTTTCACATTAAATTGATTAGCGGGAGTCCTCGGCCCCAATCCGGGCACCACCACACGTGAATCCAACCACACATCCCTCATACATCCCAGAAAGCCTGAAGCAGTCTCTTGCTCTCCTCTTCCACCTATGTAGAGATTCTGGATCCCAGTCAACTCAGACAGACCTGAACCCAGTTCGGACTCTGCTTGATCGATCTGTACTTCCATACGACACGTGTCCTCAAGGCAAGACGGGTCTGTAAGACTCAGCCCGAGCATGTTGTTGCGCAGCGTGGCCTTGACCGTGTGCCAAAGGCCATCAGAAACGATCAACGGGAGCTCTAGAAGAACACTTTCAGCTTTCATTGCTCTCTGCAGTGAATGCCGCAGCCTTCCATCCACTAACTCCAGCATAAGAAGCTGATCTTCAACTTGGCACTGGAGCAGAACAGCCGCTGCCTGCAACGTGCAGAAACTCAGAGTGACATTCAAAGGGTCCAAAGCATTAGTGAGGTTGGTTTGGACCTGCATGAATCCTCTTTCTTCAAAAGAGAAGGTGGTGGACATCTGGCATTTCGTTCCAGTGAAACCCTCAGGGCAGATGCAGGTGTATCGATGCCGTCCTTTGTCTAGGTACGGATAGCAAGTGGCACCGTTCTGGCACCAGTGACGTTCACAGCCAAGCAGCACTACTGTGCAGTACGGCCCTCCATAGAGGTGTCCATTATAGCTCGTTTGGGAACAGTGACATTTGTATTGTTCATCCTGGTTCTCGCACACGCCACCGTTCATGCACGGGTTCATATCGCATCCATCGACATTCCCCTCACTGCAGACTCCTGAGGCAGAGAAGAAACAAGACGTTTTAAAGTGTCGTGAACATCATTGACAAAAACTAGTTTATTTTTTTTTTATATCTGTCTGAGATATCAAAATCAAAATTCTGCCATCATTTGCTCATCCTCATGCCGTTCCAAAATTGTGTTACTTTCTATTGTGGAACACAGCCAAGCAGCACTACTGTGCAGTACGGCCCTCCATAGAGGTGTCCATTATAGCTCGTTTGGGAACTGTGACATTTGTATTGTTCATCCTGGTTCTCGCACACGCCACCGTTCATGCACGGGTTCATATCGCATCCATCGACATTCCCCTCACTGCAGACTCCTGAGGCAGAGAAGAAACAAGATGGTTTAAAGTGTCGTGAACATCATTGACAAAAACTAGTTTATTTTTTTTTATATCTGTCTGAGATATCAAAATCAAATCAAAAAAAAATTCTGCCATCATTTGCTCATCCTCATGCCGTTCCAAAATTGTGTTACTTTCTATTGTGGAACACACACACACACACACACACACACACACTAAAATTCCCAATTGTTTTTGTCCATACAATGAAAGTCAATGAGGTCCAAAATAACACTGGACTCTACTGACTTTCACTGTATGGAGTATGGACAAAAAACATAGAGACATTTTTCAAACTATCATCTTTTGTGTTTTACAAAAGAAAGAAGTCTGAATGCTGGTTTGGAACAACATGAGGATGAATAAATTATGAAATCAGATTTTTTTTTTCAATTACATATATTTTTGATCATAACAATTTAAATGAAATGTATGAAAAAAAAACAATAATTTTATAGTATTTGGTATGTTCTTAAACTTAACATAGCAACTTAAAATATTAAACAGGTTGTGTTTACAATGTTAAGTTTGTTGGTGAGGGTCTAACTAACTGGCTGCTGAACATATAGTTTGCTCACTGATGATGCAGCTGAATAATTTGTTTTTGGGCAAAGTATGGGAACACTCGGGTTTAAGATTTACTTAGAACATTTTCACTCAGAAATGTTTAGTAAAATTCACAAATAATTCTGAAAAAAGGCAAGTAACACATGGCATTAAACATCAAATTTTGAAGTAGAAAGACTGTATTTTTATTGTAAAATGCATTTCAATCTTTGTTTTATTTCTAACTTTGAAAAAAAATTTTTTTATAGTATAATTAAATTAGAATATATATCTTATTTTGGTGTACCTATAACTTTTTCAGTTGGCCCAAAAATTATAACAGTTCTAAATCATGATTACATAATATATTTGCTTAATTTAATTATCTTAATCAGCTTAATTTAAAATGATTGAACTTGCATGTACAAACAATATTATTTTTGTGTTTATATAAGTCCAATGAAATCACAGATCAACTTGAACTAAGTCAGTAAACACAACAGTAAGTATACTGTTAAGAATACTATTAAGTATATATACCAAGTTAACTCTGGTTTCTCAACTGATTTTTTTTTTTTTTTTACAGATTTCGTGCTTCATGAACTTCAAATTTTGGGCAAAATATGATGATTTGCTTTAATAGAAGCACTGCAATCACATACTCTCCAATACTATTAAAATCACATGAGCAATATGCATTCATAGGCTACAAGTAGCTTCATCAAAGCCATTAACAGGACTACTAAAAATAACCTCCTACAAAAAGTACAAACAAGTTTCTAATGTAAGCCATAATTGTGTCACAAGATACAACTGTTATGAAATTGTTACCTGCATAGAGCAACAGGACAATCCAGAAAGAAATGCCCGCTCTTGACATGATTTTAGTTATAAACAGACTAACCAGGCAGGAGACCTAAAACCAGCTTTGTAAAACACCATAACCCTCACAGACTTCCTTGGCTCTTCCTTATTCATCTGTGTTTAGGATGGACTGACTTCTCAGTGGGTTCACCGCAACCCTTGGGATTATGGTAATGCACTTACATGTCTAATGAACTGGTGTGAGGCCAGGCACAGGAGCCACGGCTAATCTGAGAGAGCTCACGCATCCTCCCCTTATGGACCGTATGCAGCTCTGAAATTACATAAGTTATTAGCAATTCTTAGACAGTAGAACTCTACTGTAAAGGCATAATCCACTATTTAGATTTTTAAATGTGAGGAATAGTGAAGAATAAACAGCATCAGAATAAACAACAGCAAGAAAACAGATATAAGCATTTTGGTAAAAAGCCTTTGGAATGTTAGTTTTCAAACTGGTCAGGCACCTTCAGGGCATATTGTCAATGATTCATACCTAATTTTGTGCAGGTATGTAAAAACAATGAAAATTATATTGATATTTACAACAAATTTCAAAACGGCGTGCAGGAAATTAATCAAATTCTGGATAAAAAATTTCTCACAGACTCACAGACACCAAGTTCACACACTCTTAAAAATAAAGGTTCCAAAAAGGGGTTTTCACAGTGATGCCATAGAAGAACCAGTTTTGGTTCCCCAAAGAACCTTCCAGTGAACATTTCTTTAAAAAAACATTTTTTCTTAGTATGAAGAACATTTTAATAATCTAAAAACCTTTTTTCGACTTTTTGTGGAATGAAAAGTTTCCATGGATGGTAAAGGTTCTTTGTGGAACCACTGATGCCAATAAAGAACCCTTATTTTTAAGAGTGCATTCCTGACAAGCATTTTACAAGTTATGAGCAAACATAACCAAATTTGGCAGGTACCCTCAGATCATAGAGCTAATGAAGCCTACCAAGTTTCGTTTCAATAGATCGAAGTGTTACTGAGGTACAGCCTTTCATCCAATTTCGGGTCAACATCACTAACATTGTGTTAGCCTACTGTAACTTTTGAACAGAGTCATCTCAGTTGATTCAGTCTAATGGTCATCTGAGCCAAATTTGTTAAGAACTGTACACACTTTGAAAGAGAATTGGCAAAAATAATCAAAATACAGTATTCACACAGTATTATACATTTCAAAATTGCGGCTATACTGTAAAGGGCTTAATGCAAGTCTTAATGTAATATTAGCATGAGAACATGAACTAAATTTATTTTCAGGACAAAGGGTGAACTGAAAGAAAAGTTCATTTTTAAACTGGTGGTATAGAGCTACAGAGTCGGTCCAAACTTGGTCAGATTAGGGGTAGAGTGGAGGAAAACGCCCCCCACCCCCTACTGTTTTCCCCAAAATAATCACATGATCAAGTCAAGATACATTTTTATTGTAAATATGGACTATGTTGACAAGAGTAATGTAGAAGTTTTCACCATGAAGCTTACACTGGTGATGTACCGGAGAGAAAACAGATTTCACAGTAAATGATCTTAGGCTAATTTTCAGCAGTAAGAAAAAAAGTGTTTTAAAGCTTGTTGTTTTGTAGAACATCACAGTTATATATGATATGAGAACATTTGGGCCTGTAGATAGGGAGTATGTGTTATTTTATAAAAATCTAATTCTATTTTCAGAATGACATCATTTTTGTCTCAAACATAGTCTGTGGGGTAAAACGCACCCAGGGGGCAATGGGCAATTACTGTAGTTATTCTGTTCTGAACATCAAATCCTTTGTTTTTCCATCAAATGTATTCTAACTAGTTGGTTGAATAAAAATATTTGGACTTTATAATTAAAAATTACCTCAAGTTAGCATCAGGTAGCTAGTTAGCTTAGCCAGTTAGCATCAGCTAACACAATTTTTCAAATAGGCTATTAGACTATAATTTGCAATTCATTATTATTGATTATATTCTTTTTAATTTTAAGCTAATCTAAAACTATGATAACTTTTCTAAACACATTTAACTTTTGTTTCACAGGAAAAAAAATACACATTCCTTAAGGGGGGCGTTTCCCCCCACTCTACCCTACAGGACCACCACAGTAAGTGTGCAAGTATTCATAATTTTCCTACAAAGGGTTCAATGGGTGATGTTATTGGTACTGCGCAATAAAAAGAAACCATTTACAGACTCAGTGTTGGATATTCTCATTGTTGTTAGCTTGTAGATGACAGTAAGTGAAAACACCTTTACCTGCTGCTACAAATGCAACAAATATCCCGTGTGTGGAGAAAAAAACAAGAATAGTTCTGGAACGGGAAAGTTGCGTACAAGTACAACGCGCACACACACCAGCCAACTACATTACCCACAATGCTATGCTTCATCTGGATGACGTCGTGGTACGTTTATTGTTGTTGTTATTGATGTTGTTGTTTTTTATAAACTAAAACATATACATTATTAACTTAAATTAAATTTCAGGTTACATAAATGCTATTTTCGGAGGATGAATAAGCTATATCTTTTAACCTATGAAACAGGAAGACGTTTCGCTCTTAGCCAATGACTAAACAGCTTGTAGAGACGTCGGATCCCTGGACGATGGAAAAAGGACACAATGCGCTTATAATCCGAAAAAAACGTGTATTTTGTTATTTGTATACAAAGGCTAAATAAGTGACCTCTTCAAAACACCACCGCATGTTTGAGCTATTCAAAGGTAAGACTGGAACTGGAAAATAAGTCGCTGTTTGCAGTTTGCCATGGGCCATTTTAGGGTCGTTTGTCAACGCACTCCTGTTGTGGAGGGGCCCTGTGGGCGCATGACATAATGGGGGGCCGCAAGGGGTAGTTCACTTCAGATTTGCATTGTCCTCGTTCGCAGGGCGCTAGGTTTTTGAATCGTGTGAACATGCTGATCATGTTGTTATGTGTTTGTTGCAAAACTGCAAGCAACACGTCGTCATATATGGGACTGTCAATTCTTCTTTCTGTCTGAAGTTACAGGCTGCATGTCACTAAGTTCATGCGTGCGACTCAATGAAATTATTATGACTTAACAAATGACAGAGCAGTAATCATTTAGTCCAAATTTAAGCCAGTATTGTTGTTTTTATCGTTTTGTAAAGCAATATTTAGCCTTTAAAATGAGCTAGAGTCTATTAGGATGTACTTAACACAAATGTGACATTTATTTGTATTTACACTTTGTTTTATCAAAATTTTGACGCTATATTTTAAAGTT